GAACACTACGAAGCGAACAACCATCTCATTGGATATCATTTGGGTTCATTTATTAAAAAGGTTAGGATGTAGCCAACCTCAGTTATAAAAAGACATATCGTATGCAAAATCGGAAACTGAAAACCATTTGTTATAATCCAAAAAATGGCTTCGGATGATTGACCATCAAGACCAGTTCAATTCAGAGTTGTACGCATTCGCGTCTAAGTTCCTCTTTATAGCAGAGCACTTACCAAAGCTAAAACCTACGAATGAATATGGCTGCCTATCCCTGTTTGTTATTTCAGGTGCCAAGTTTGAAACGTTGACAGCTTCCAAAGAATCGAACCATTGCCATTCCCTCATCGAACAGTATTCGCCAGCACACAGCCAAAATACGAGTCAATCCGACGAAGGCTATCACAGCAACGAGGTCTCAGTTACCCCTGTCAGCGGAAGGACTACGTTCAGTGACTCCGACGCCGATTCCAGTGGAGTGCTAGACTTTAGCCTCAAAACGGCGCGAAAGACGAACGACTCGTCTGGCAAATCCTCCGCCATTCATTTTTCCAATCGTCTTGTCGAAACAACGGAGAACGACCGTGCTGTGACCAATGACCGGGTCAATGACCCCGGCCTTTCCACTTTCAACACAGAGATGCTCAACTGCAACCGTCCTGGTGTTATCAAGATGGTACCAAAGTACAGGCTGTTGGATGATGACGAAACTCAAAGGGCCGGTCGATTTCCGCATTTGGTCATCACCACCGACTGCCATTCTTCTTCGTCGTCGTCGTCGTCTTCTTCTTCTTACAGCGCTTTCTCTCCTTCAGGCTACGGGCGCTACGGTCAAGCGACGAGTTTCGCCGAGCCTCCACCTCAGATGGCGCCGCCGAAGCCAGTTTTGTGGAACCTACAAACCGTGTCCGCGCTGAGCTCCGTTCTGTGGAACCCGTCTGTCGTGTCCAATCCGGCGTCGCCGTATTTTTTGCCCTCCCCCGCCGTCGAAAGAGAAAGTTTCACGACGCCGGTCATCGTGCCACAGATGCCGAACGTCAGGCTCAACGGCGCCCTCGACGCTTCAGACGTCCCCCGTGCGACCGTCAGGCTGTCCGGGGACCCGAAGGGCAACAAGGAGAACCGCAAAACATCTACAGAAGGCACCATCAACCATTCGAAATCGGCCTATCAGCTGAACGGCAAGACGAACAACAACAAAACCAAGTATGAATGCTACAGCTGCAACAAGACCTTTGGCCAGCTGTCGAACCTGAAGGTGCACATGCGCACGCATACGGGCGAGAGGCCGTTCCGATGCACCGTCTGCAGCAAGGAGTTCACGCAGCTGGCACACCTCCAGAAACACAACCTCGTCCACACCGGTAAGACGAAAAATCAATTTCTTCACGCGACGATCACCTCATTGTTCTCATTCGTAAATTGAGTGAACATGCTCAGATCTATGAGGAGGTGAACGAGTACAAAAACAGCAAAGCACAATCAGCTTCTGCGTTATGATAGTCTGGCATAAACCGACATTGACTAAACTTTATTAGGAACTCCTGCACACGTTGAAGGTTAATTTCTTTAGCCGCTAATTGAGCTGTGTAATCGTAAGGAATTTATCTGATTCTAGTGGGACCGCATGCCGCTGACATGATGCAAAAAATTGAAAACAACGTACGCTACGCTCTTCAAAGTTCATAATTCATAGGCTTTGACAAGTGCATGGCTGGATTAACAGCAACTATTTACTTTTGTGTAATTTTTTTCAGGTAGCAGAAACAGAAGTTTAGTGATCCGTCGAAACTCATGATCCGTCAGCATGGTGTTGACACCAAAGCAGAAAACCTTCCACCCAGGGGCTCAGAATTCTAAATCCTTGCGTTTCGTTGACGAAAGTTTAACTATATGGTTGCTGCTTTATAAACCTCATCAACTAGCTGATGTTCATTCCCTCTGTGTAAGGTGATGTGCCATTTTCCGACTGTGAGCTCTCACTGTCGGCATGGTTCCCATAGAACCTCCTCTGATGTGCTACAGTATAATTTCGCTGGCTGTCTTGTTCATTCAGAACCACTAGCGAATCCGTGGTTGAGTGGTGTCCTCGTCACCGCTTGACCGGTAAAACCTTCGATAGCGTCATTACCATGAGGAACAGGCAGTTCAGTTCCACAGAAAACTTCTGCCTAATGCCGAGCCGTCCTCTTTCCTCGTCCGAGTTTTTGACCGGCAAGAGCGAAGTGTGTGATTTGTCAACATAAAATATAAAACTGGTGCAGGGAATTTCTTTATGAATATGATTCTTGATTCATTCTCCACTGATAGTGCCTGTTTGTTTGAGAACCACGTCCGGTCCTTTTTATAAACTATCCCCTCTTGCTGTCCCAGATTGATGGTCAATTCATTATTGGCGTTAAATTCCAAAGTGGTTGGCTCCTACATGAGAAGATCAGGAGGAAAACACGCCATCTGATGGTACGGGTCCATTACTGATATGCGAAGGGATAATATGGTAAAAGATTTGTAGGTGACAAAGCGATGATTTCGTCAAGAGTGGAAAGTCTAGATCTGATCTTTACCCCTTAGCAAATTTGGCAACTGGGGTGTGCAACTGCAATGGTTTGAATCTCATCAGGATGCCTGATGAACAATTACAAATAATAATGGCAGGCAGTCAAGGGGCAGACCGAAGACTCGATGGGTGGAATACATTCAGCACTTCATATATCAGCGCTTTGCAGTGTAACCCCTAAAGATTTCCTGATTGCTCAAGTACAAGGGCCACCGGAGAGGCAGCCTCTTGCCCCTGTCATCTTAAATCAATAGCTGCCTCTTGAGACTGACACATGGGCGTATTAATATATGCCGGAGTTTAAGATTTGAAAGCGCTTTAAAAGTCGGTATTAAATCCGCAGTGACAAGACGTCTGTTTTATTTTCATCTATTTTTCTTGTTTTATTTTTTATGTACTGTATCAAGTCACTTAGCTCTAAAATTAAAGTCCAAACAAATTATTTCTGAACCATAGTACCCTTTGACCGGAACAGATAAATAGAGTTTGAAACTGATCGCTATAGATTGTAAATATTTTACCTCATTTTATGAAATGAATCGATATGTTCCTTCCATATAGCGATGATGTTCGTGATATCTCGAGCCATTCTGTGGGAAAAGTGTGCAAAACAGAGGCATGGAATGAAAGGCTGAACAAACGAAACCATTTCAAGACACCCTTTAATGTTTCACTTCAGCTCAACATAATTTCCTCAAGTTTAGGGATGCAAACGTCCAAAGAGAATGCTTTCGAGTTTAACAGACTTTCCTGAGGAGAGCTATAAATTTTCAGTGATCCTCTGCCATATGGACACAAGCTTTAATGCCATTTATCATTTTGTTATGTTCAGCTTTTGGGTTTCGATCTTGCGTCGATGTCTGCCCGCAGTGTTTAAAGCCTTTAAAGTAGATTATCTGAAAGCAAATTTGTCAGTCTAAAAATGCAACAATGCCGGGTCACCGCATGACGAAAAGCAGTTGGCCAAGAAAAGGGGAACAAAACATCGTAACTTTTGGAATATTGGTCTTCCTTGCACTTACGTGATGCAGCCATTTCTAGCACCATCGTTTTCATGAAGCTACGGTTGGTGGCGCTGTTCTTCCTTTCCACATCATCGGCCAAGAGTGTCTATTTTTAAAGGCATAATCGAAAACAGCTACATGACGATCACAGTCTGTATTCTCGTTTTGTTCCAACTCATTCATCAGAAAAGTACTCATTTATCAACCTCAGAAGGTGGAAAGACAAATGATTCTGTGGTAGGTTCTTTGCTGAAAAGAATTCGCCCTACCGACAAGACTGCCCGCCGTGGGAAGCGATCTCAAAACCTCTGGAGTTCGAGTTTGACTCCGGATTTTTACGCACTGTATCACTACGCCACAGGTCATTCGTAACCGTTGGCCTGGCTTCTCAACGGGTATATTGACATGCAGAGAGATCCTTAATGAACG